GGTGCGTTTGGATGGTGGAGGAAGCCACTGGTTTTCAAAGGAGGAGGACGACGATCCACAGTAGGTGATGAGGGGAGGGGGACTGGGATCGTTTTTTTTTCTCCCGTAGGGTTTGCTTCTTTTCTCTTTTAAGAAGAAAGAGGAACAGTAGTCGTTCCCCTTCAAAAATCCAAAAAATCCCCTCCGTTCCTTTTGTTTTACCCGTGTATTTAGCATGGGTTTTGCCCAGAAAAATGAGCCCACGCGTGGTGGGGTTCAAGGCATATGTCCCCCACGCGTGGTGGGGTTCCCCACGTGTCCTGGACACGGTTTATTATGGGCTAGGTCCGAAAATTAGGCCTCAAACCGGGTAGTTTGAACCCGAATATTATTCATTTGCCCGGACCCGAGAAATAGGAACACGTTGCTTAACTAGTCTTATGTAAGCAAAATAACTACCAAAAATAAGACTAGTATTCAAACAAAACTATATATATTTTTTTAAATATTTTTTCAAGATTTAAAATAGCTACAAAATATTAATAAAACTATTTTTGTAATTTTCGTTTTTTAATAAAAACAAAAATATGATGTAATATTTTTTATATTTTTTCAAAATTATAATGACTGCAAACATTAATAGAACTATATTTTTTGTTAATTTTCGAATTTATATAAAGTACCAAAATAAAGTGCAATTTTTTATTTTTCAAGTTTATGAGAAATACATAAACTAAAATTATATATATATTTTTTGTGATTTTTCTTTTTGCAACGAAATAAAGTAAAAATAGTCAAAATAGCTATATTAGTCCTAAATTAAATATTTAAGCTAAGAATGTAAAAATTCCCGGGGAGGGTCAAAAATCACGTGCTTACAACCGTGACCCAGTATGAGATGAGGTTTTCTGAGTTGGCTCGGCATGCCATCTAGATGATTCCGACAGATCGTGAGAGGATCAGGAGATTTGTGGATGGCCTTAACTACCATCTCCGTATTCTGATGACTAGAGAGAGAGTATTGGGTGCTACGTTCGAGGAGGTGGTTGATATCGCTCGTGAGATTGAGATGGTTTGCCGTAGGGAGCTACAGGAGAGAGAGGCCAAGAGGCCTCGAAGATCGGGCAGTTACAGAGGAGCTCTGTCGAGGAGCCAGTCCTAGCATGGTAGAGGTCATTCTTTCAGGCCTGCTCAGTCGGCCCATCCAGAGTATCATGGGGCATCTTCAGGTTGTGGTCATCAGGGGTCCCAGTAGGGCCAGCCTTCTTTCAGCGCCCTCCCAGCTCAGAGTTCATCTTATGCCCCATCAGCTCAGGGTTCTTCTATGCCGAGTGCATCTGTTAGTCACTCCGGTGCGAGTGGTTCCCTTTAGTCCCCATCTCCAGCACCGGGTAGTTGTTATGGGTGCGAAGAGTTTGGACATATGAGGAGGTAGTTCCCTAGACTTCGTGATGGTCAGTTTCAGCAGAGGGGTCAGCCCTCGACTTCTGCTCCAGTTACTTTACCACCCGCCCAGCCAGCTAGGGGTCGCCTAGAGGGGGAGGTCGATCAGGTGGTGGATAGGCTCGTTTCTATGCTATTCCAGGTAGGACATATGATATTGCTTCAGATGCTGTCATTACAGGTATTGTTTCAGTCTGCCACAGAGATGCCTCTGTATTATTTGATCCCGGTTCCACCTATTCTTATGTGTCCTCATATTTTGCTCATTATTTGGGTATGCCCCGGGAGTTTCTTGCTTTACCTGTTCATGTGTATACCCTGTTGGGCGATACTGTTGTTGTGGACCGTATGTACCAGTCATGTGTTATGACTATTGGGGATCTGGAGACCCGAGTTGATCTATTGCTATTGAGCATGGTGGACTTTGATGTTATTTTGGGCATAGATTGGTTATCTCCGTGTCATGCTATTTTAGACGTTATGCTAAGACAGTCACTTTGGCTATGCCAGGTAAACCGCGGATTGAGTGGCGTGGTGTGACTGATTATGTTCCTAGTAGAGTGATCTCTTTCTTGAAGGCTCAGCGTATGGTTGGGAAGGGTTATCCTTCATATCTAGCATTTGTAAGGGATGTTGGAGTCGAGACTCCCAACATTGATTCTGTTCCAATTGTGAGGGATTTTCCCGATGTTTTTCCTGCAGACCTGCCGGGCATGCCAACGGACAGGGATATTGATTTTGGTATTGACCTGGTGCCGGGAACTCAGCCCATTTCTATTCCGCCGTATCGTATGACACTAGTAGAGTTGAAAGAATTGAGGGAGCAACTTTAGGAACTCTTGGATAAGGGGATCATTCGGCCTAGTGTGTCACCGTGGGGTGTGCCGGTTCTTTTTGTGAAGAAGAAGGATGGCACAATGAGAATGTGCATTGATTACAGACAATTGAACAAGGTAACAATTAAGAACAAGTATCCTTTGCCTTGCATTGATGATTTATTTGATCAGCTTCAGGGAGCGAGGGTGTTCTCTAAGATTGATCTTCATTCGGACTATCACCAGTTGAAGATCAGGGATTCAGATGTTCTTAAGACTGCTTTCAAGACTAGATATGTTCACTATGAGTTTTTTGTCATGTCTTTCGGATTGACCAATGCTCCAGCAGCGTTCATGCATTTGATGAACATTGTATTTCGACCTTATCTGGATTTGTTCGTTATTGTATTCATCGATGATATTCTGGTGTACTCGCGTAGTTAGGAGGAGCACGCAGAGCATTTGAGAGTTGTGTTGCAGAGATTGAGGGAGGAGAAGCTTTATGCAAAATTCTCCAAGTTTGCATTTTGGCTCAGTTCAGTGGCTTTCTTGGGGCACGTGGTGTCTAGAGAGGGTATTCAGGTTGATCCAAAGAAGATAGGGGCGGTTCATAGTTGGCCTAGACCGTCCTCAACCACAGAGATTCGTAGTTTTCTTGGTTTGGCAGGCTATTATCGCCGGTTTGTTCATGGATTCTCATCTATCGCATCGCCCTTGACCAAGTTGACTCAGAAGGGTGTTTCATTTGTATGGTCGGGCGAGTGTGAAGAGAGCTTTCAGAAGCTCAAGACAGCTTTGACCACAACTCCAGTATTGGTTTTGCCATCAGCTTCAGGTTCATATACCATGTATTGTGATACTTCAAGAGTGGGGATTGGTTGTGTATTGATGCAGGAGGGTAGAGTTATTGCTTATGCCTCTCGTTAGTTGAAGCCCCATGAGAAGAACTACCCTGTTCATGATTTGGAGTTGGCTGCCATAGTTCATGCATTGAAGATTTGGAGGCATTATTTGTATGGTGTATCTTGTGAGGTATTCACTGATCATCGCAGTCTTCAGCATTTGTTCAAGCAAAAGGATATTAATTTGAGGCAGCGGAGATGGTTGGTGTTGCTTAAGGATTATGATATCACCATATTGTATCATCCGGGAAAGGCCAATGTAATGGCAAATGCGTTGAGCCAAAAGGCAGTAAGTATGGGGAGTTTGTCATATATTCCAGTTGGGGAGAGATCTCTTGCAGTTGATGTTCAGGCCTTGGCCAATCGGTTTGTGAGGTTGGATATTTCGGAGTCCAGTTGGGTGTTGGCATGTGTATGGCTGTTCAAAACCGATCCGAAACCGAAAACCAAACCGAACCGAAGCTTAATGGCTTACTGGTAACGGCTTAACAGATGGGGAACACATTATTTTTTTTATTAACGGCTTATCGGTTTGGGGGCGGATTATTCAATTTTCTTAACGGATTATCCGTTAACCCGTTAAGAATATAAATATATATATATAATTTATCTTTATTTATATATATTAAATATAAAAAAACCTTGAACTTGAATAATAAAAAACAAACCCATCTTTGTTCTGTCTCTATAGTCTATAGTCTATCTATTCTCTAAGACTAAAACTAACGCACTCCTAATTCCTAAATAATCAAAAGACAAAATCATAGAAACCCAACCCTAACGCCTAAACCAGCAGCCACCGGCCACCAGTCCTCGTCATCGTCGACTTCCACCAGCCACCAGTCTCCCTCTCTCCGTCTCGCCTCTCCCTCTCGCGGCTTCTTATCTTCTTATCCAGGTACTCTTACTTATGATTCCCATCAAAATCAACATTATCAGGAGTTTGCTAGTCATTTTTTTCTTTTCAATTTACAGTTTTTTCTCACTATTTGTTATTGAATTTGCCGATTTTGTTAAACGGATATGTTTACAGTAAGAAGAAGACAATAGCAAATTGTGAGATTTTCCAAGTTTCAATTTTCTGCTTCTGAAATGAATTCACAGGAGCTGCTTCTTTGGTTTTTAGAACAATTTATAGTAAGAAAATTTATCTAGTGGTTTAGTAGGGGGTTGACGAGATTCAGCTAGATTGTCATGAAAAATGCCATTTTCTAACATCATGAATAAGTTTTTTGGTTTTTGTTGGGACTTTAAAGAGGAGTATTTCTCACAAATTTCAACTACAGTAGAGGTGCAATCTGAGGCAACTCAAGTAGTTGAAGAAGTTGTTATTGATTTTGATAATTTTAGTTGTTGTTGATTTTGACAAAAGTAGTCTTCTTAGAACGGGACAACTTAATATATGACTGATTAGCTATACTTTATGCTTCTGGTTCTGGGCTTTATTTCTCTTCAATCCCCTAGTAATCTTAGCACTTAATTTGTAAATAAGCTAAAGAACACACATGGCCAGGTTATATAGTTTGCTAAAATACATACTCAAGATGTTGGTGACCTTTTGTATACAAACGAAGCGCTAGTATTGTTTACAACTTGATGTTTTTATTCTCATTCCTTTTCTTTTCTTGTTGCAGTGACTCATACATGGCTGAAAATATACAAAGTGATAAGGTAATGATGGGTGAAAGTGGGGCTTCTAATTCAAATGCAACAAGTCAATCTCAAATAACAGAGTCAAATATAACCAAAAAAGGAGAAACAGGTCTGTTGTGTGGGATCATTTTACAGAAATTATTACTTCTGAAGGGAGTACAAAAGCAAAATGTGACTATTGCTTTATTGAGTATGTATTTAAGACCAAAGACGGTACGTCGACACTTCTTTCTCATATGCTTAAGTGTCCTAAACTCCCTGCTATTGTTGATAAAAAACAATCAAATTTAGGCTTTCAATCTGCTCCGGTGGGTAGTCAGGGTGACGTAGCTGTTGTTACTTGGAAATTTGAACAAGAAGAATGTAGGAAGGCATTATGTCGTATGGTAATAGTTGATGAGCTTCCTTTGAGCTTTGTTGAGAAAGAAGGTTTTAGAGACTTTATGAAAGTGGCGCAACCTTATTTTCGGATCCCTTCCCGTAGTACTGTAACTAGGGATTGTTTTGATATTTTTAATGAAGAAAAGCAAAAGTTGAAGAGGTTTTTTATAGAAGCAAAACAAAGAGTATGTATTACCACTTATACCTGGACTTCTATACAAAGAATCAATTACATGTGTATCACTGCCCATTTGATTGATAGTGAATGAAATATGCATAAGAGAATAATTAATTTTTGTCCTATTGTTAGTCATAAAGGCGAAGATATGACAAATGGTATTGGTAGGTGCTTACGAAAGTGGGGGATAAATAAGATCTTCACTATCACAGTTGATAATGCAAGCTCAAATGATGTGACAGTAAAAGAATTATCTAAGTAATTAACAAAAATAGGAACTAATTTGATGAATGGTACTCACCTTCACGTGAGATGTATGGCTCACATCATGAATCTTGTGGTCCAGGATGGTTTAAAAGAATCTTCAGTGTCTATTGAGCGTGTTAGGCATGCAGTGAGATATGTTAGGCAGTCTCCTGCGCGGTTGAAGAGGTTTCAAGAATGTTTTGATGCTGAACAACTCAATTCTAAGAAAACTTTATGCTTAGATGTTCCAACTAGATGGAATTCCACCTACTTGATGTTGCGCAGAGCTATTGAATTTGAAAGTGCATTTTCACATTATGCTTTTAGTGAAATTGGCTCGAGACATTATCTTGAGCATTCTTATATTGATGTTGGAATTCCTACAGTGAACTTTTGAGTAGTGATTGGGATAATATAAAAAGAATTACAAAATTTCTTGAAATCTTCTATCTTCTTACTTTGAAGATATCTGGATCACGTTATGTTACATCGAATATTCATTTTCTTGAAATTTGCATAATTGCTGTCTATTTGAAGCAATTGATAGCAAATGAAGATATAGTTTTAAGTGAAATGGCAAAGAATATGAAAGAAAAGTTTGATAAGTATTGGGATGATCCAGGGAAAATGAACAAGATAATTTTTATCTCATGTATTTTGGATCCACGTTACAAGATCGAATCAGTTGGATTTGCACTTGTAAAGATGTTTGGTGTAGATCCGGGGGCAACTATACAAGCAGAAGTAACGAAGTACATGACTTTATTATTCAGTGAGTATGTAAAGTCCAGCTCAAAAGGTGTTGTGCTTGCTTCATCTTCAAATTGTTCTTCATTGGACACTTCGACTTCCGGGCTTTCTGGCAGTCAAGCAAGCACCCAAAATATAGGACTTTTAGAATCACTCATGCAAGATATAAAAAAAATATAAAAGTGGGAGAGGAGGTGTTGATACTAGAACAGAGTTAGATAAATATTTAGATGAAGAAACTGAGGATGACACTAAAGAATTTGATGTTCTTCTTTGGTGGAAATTGAACTCAGCTAGATTTCCTCTTCTTGCGGAGATGTCTCGTGATATATTAGTTGTCCCGGTTTCAAGTGTGGCATTCGAATGTGCATTTAGTACGTGAGGACGTCTTCTTGATTCATTTTNACTAAAGAATTTGATGTTCTTCTTTGGTGGAAATTGAACTCAGCTAGATTTTCTATTCTTGCGGAGATGGCTCGTGATATATTAGTTGTTCCGGTTTCAAGTGTGGCATCCGAATGTGCATTTAGTACGGGAGGACGTCTTCTTGATTCATTTAGGAGTTCATTAACTCCTAAATTGGTGCAAGCTCTAGTGTGTCTTCAAGATTGGCTTCGAAATGAAAAATTAAAACAACCCATTAGTGTTGAGGAAGATCTTGATAAAATTGAGCAGCTTGAACAAGGTAATAATATTTTTACTATATTTGTTGTATATAAGTGTTGTTGATATGCTTATATTTATCGCACGACTCATTATTTTAATTTTTTTCCTTCAGATTTAGCCAGCAATGGAAAAGACCCTTCCGTAATTGACGTGTAGTATTAATATATTTGGTAAGATTATTCATCAGCTACTCTGCCTATTCCCTGTTTTATTTTGAATTCGAGGTGCATAGAAACAATTTTCTCTTTCAAACAATTTGAGGGCAGTGATCAACAAAATGCCTGCAATTTATCTCCTGACATAAATTTATGTAAAAATTCTTGTGTTGAGAAAGAGAGGTAAGCATGTGTGGCGAATATGACCATGGAATTTGTAGTTCAGTATTACGGCCTTCACTGTGGTTTTGTGAATATGCATCATGTAAATAAACAAAAAACTACAAACATGTATTGAGCTATAATTGCCAGCAAGTTATGGTCTGTGTTTAATCCAATCCCGAACAACCATTAATCATTCTTTATAAACTTTTTGAACTGTTGTGATATATTCCAGTTACGGTGAATGAAGTCGAAGCATTATATGAGCTATTCGAGAAAATAAGCAGCTCTATAGTTGATGATGGGCTCGTTCACAAGATATTTCTCTACTGTTTGAGCAGCAACTTTTGGTCTTGTTAAGCAACAACTTTTGGTCTTGTTGAGCAACAACTTAATGGCATCAGTCAGTTGGCTAAATGACTGTTGAACTTGTTTAATTCTTTCTGGTTTTGGTAGCAAGAAGGCAGACTAGTTCCTTCGTCACACATGATTTACATTTTCGGCATATTAACTGATGCATTTTGGATTCTATCCCTCCTATTGTAAAACTTAATTTTCTATTTCACGTTAGGTACTTCAGTATGGCAGTACCTAGTTGAGGATAATTTCGATTTGTGAATATGTATGCTAGGCCGATAAACCGCTCGATAACCGCCCGATAAGAGCTAAACCGATACCAATCCGCCCGATATCTTATCGGATGGATAACAGATTAATATATTTAAAAGTCGATAACCGTTAAGCCAAACCGTTAAGAGTAAATAACCGTCCAATCCGCCCGATAAATAGCCCTAGGCATGTGTGGTTTCTCGATCTTCCTTATATGATCATATCAGAGAGCGCCAGTATGATGATCCACATTTGCTTGTTCTTAAGGACAGAGTTCAGCATGATGATGCCAGAGATGTGACCATCGGTGATGATGGTGTGTTGAGGATGCAGGGCCGAATTTGTGTTCCTAATGTGGATGGGCTTAGAGAGTTGATTCTGGAGGAGGCTCATAGCTCGCGGTATTCTATCCATCCGGGTGCCGCGAAGATGTACTAGGATTTGAGGCAGCACTATTAGTGGAGAAGAATGAAGAAAAATATTGTGGGATTTGTAGCTCGGTGTCTCAACTGTCAGCAGGTAAAATATGAGTATCAGAGACCGGGTGGCTTGCTTCAGCAGATGGTCATTCCTGAGTGGAAGTGGGAGAGGATCACTATGGACTTTGTTGTTGGACTTCCACGGGCTTTGAATAAGTTCGATGCTATTTGGGTGATTGTAGATCGGCTGACCAAGTCCGCGCACGTCATTCCTGTGTGTACTACTTATTCTTCAGAGCGGTTAGCAGAGATATATATCCGGGAGATTGTTCGGCTGCATGGTGTTCCAGTTTCTATTATTTCAGATCGGGGTACTCAGTTTACTTCGCAGTTTTGGAGAGCCGCACAAAGAGAGTTGGGTACTCAGGTGGAGTTGAGCACAATATTTCATCCTCAGACGGACGGACAGTCCGAGCGTACTATTCAGATATTGGAGGACATGTTGCGTGCTTGTGTTATTGATTTTGGAGGTTTATGGGATGAGTTTTTGCCACTTGCAGAGTTTGCCTACAACAACAGCTACCAGTCGAGTATTCAGATGGCTCCGTATAAGGCTTTTTATGGGAGGCGGCGTAGATCTCCCATCGGTTGGTTCGAGCCCGGCTAGGCTAGGCTATTGGGGACAGATTTGGTTTAGGATGCCTTAGAGAAGGTGAAGGTGATTCAGGAGAGACTCCGTACAGCGCAGTCGCGACAGAAGAGTTATGCGGACTGGAAGGTTCGAGATGTGTCCTACATGGTTGGTGAGAAGGTCTTGCTGAAGGTTTCGCCCATGAAGGGTGTTATGAGATTTGGGAAGAAGGGAAAGTTGAGTTCGCGGTTCATTGGGCCTTTCGAGGTGCTTCGGAGGATTGGGGAGGTGGCTTATGAGCTTGTTTTGCCACCCAACTTGTCGAGTGTGCATCCGGTATTTCATGTGTCTATGCTCTGGAAGTATATTGGAGATCCGTCTCATGTTTTGGACTTCAGCACGATTCAGTTGGATGATGATTTGACCTTTGATGTGGAGCCAGTAGCTATTTTGGGTCGCCAGGTTTGGAAGTTGAGGTCAAAAGATATAGCTTCAATGAAAGTGCAGTAGAGAGGTCGGCCCGTGGAGGAGGCTACCTGGGAGACCGAGCGGAAGATGCGGAGCAGATATCCTCACCTATTCGAGGTTTCAGGTATGTTTCTTAACTCGTTCGAGGACGAACGTTTGTTTAAGTTGGGGAGGATGTGACGACCCGACCAGTCATCTCATGAGTTACCGCTCCGTTTTCCCCATTTCTGCTTCTTTATGCTTCATATCCGTGTTTTATGTGGTTGAGTGGATTGATTTGCGTTTGGTGAGGTTTTGGTAAGAAATGAGACACTTAGTCTATTTTAAGAAGGTTTAAGTTGGAAAAGTCAACCGGATGTTGACTTATGTGTTAAAAGGCTCAGATGTGAGTTCCGATGGTTCGGTTAGCTTCGGGAGGTGATTTATGACTTAGGAGTGTGATCAGAATTGGTTTTGGAGGTCCGGTGTAGAATTAGGCTTGAATTGGCGATGTTAGTATTTGGCGATTTCCGGTTGATAGGCGAGATTTTGATCCGAGGGTCGGAATGGAATTCCGAGAGTTGCTATATCTTCGTTATGTCATTTGTGATGTGTGTGCAAAATTTCATGTCATTCGAACGTGGTTTGGTTGGGTTTTTGATCGAAAGCGTATTTCGGATGTTTTTAGAAAACTTAGGCTTGAATTCGATGTGAATTGATGGTTTTGGTGTTGTTTGAGGTGTTTTGATGATTGGAACAAGTTTGAATGAGATTTTAGGACGTGTTGGTGCTTTTGGTTAAGGTCCCGGTGGCCTCGGGTGAGTTTCGGGTGGTCAATCGGACCAAATTGGAGTTTGGGAAGGTGCAGAAAATCAGTTCCAGCAGTTACAGACAAATGTTCTTCGCATTCGCGGGAGGACCCTCGCGTTTGCGAAGAGTCTGCTGAGGGAGGTGAAGGTTTGGCCTTCTCATTCATGAGGCAGGTACCGCGTCCGCGAAGGGTGGTGAAGCTGTGCATCGCATTCGCGAGAGGGAACTCACGATCGCGTAGAGTAAATTGGGGTCCAAGTAATTTCTTCATCGCGTTCGCGTAAGGTCGTCCGTGTTCGCGAAGGTATGGGAGGCAGAAGCATCGTGTTCGCGATTGGGTTGACGCGTTTGCGTAGATCAAAAGTTGTTCAACGAAATTTTATGCTTCGCGAACGCGAGGCGTTGACCGCGTTCGCGAAGAAGGGAGGTCAGACCAGGGCAGAAAGTTTATTAAACATTTCATCCGTGACTTTGAGTCATTTTTCCTCCATAGCTGAGCATTTTGAGAGCTTTTTGAAGGTGATTAAAGAGGGACTCAAGGAGAATCGATTGGAGGTAAGATTTGTGAACCTAAAACGTGATTCTAGTGTGAAATTAACCTAGAAATTCATGGAACCTAAGCTAAAAATGGAAGAACTAGGGCTTGAGATTTTGAACTTTTAAATTGGGATTTGAAGGACCATTTGGGGTCATTTTTGAGAACTTTTGATATGTGTGAGCTCGTGGAGTGATAAGGAATCTAATAATGTGAAAATTTCTGAGTTTCGAGAAATGGGCCCGGGGCTCGGGTTTTGCTCATTTCGGGATTTTTGATATTTTTCGATTGTTTTTGCTTGGGCTTTGTCCCCTTAGAATATTGTGACGTATTCGCTCTGGTTTTGGTAAGATTTGACGCGCGAGGAGGCCGATTTAAGAGGCAAGGGCATAACGAGCTAGAGCTTTAGTCGGTTCGAGGTGAGTAATGAATGTAAATGATGTCCTGAGGGTTTGAAACCCCAGATTTGCACATCGTAGTGCTATATTGAGGTGAGACACGCGCTTGATGATGAGCATGGGGTCGTTTACTATTGGGGATTGTGACTTGGTCCGTCCCGAGTGATGTTTTTACCGCATATTTTGGTTGAAACTTATTTGTTCTCATCAATGTTTGAACTGACTGCCATATTTGGGCTTCTTACCAATTATTTGAACCCTCCGGGGAGTTTTATCATTATTTTCTCACTGTTTTGACTTACTACTTTAACTCAGTCGTACCGTTTTCCACTGTTTTACAACTCAGCCACTTTTTTTACTCGGTTTTAAAACTAAAATGATATATTAAATGATGTTTTGGGTTAAGAACTATTGTTTTACTAATGCCCGAGGGGCTTATATGATTTCTGGACTGAGTAAGGCCAAAGGCCAGATGTGAAGATACTATGGGATCGGGCTGCGCGCCGCAACAGTGTTATACTAATATTGATATGAGGCCGAGGGCCTAGATTTGATGCCACGAGATGGCTTGATATTGCGCTTGGGCCTTAAAGTGCCCCTCCCGGAGTCTGCACACCCCTAGTGAGTGCCGTCGATGATAAATGTATGGATCGGGCTGCACGCCGCAGCAGGTACTATAGGGTACCGTTCTATGTGTTGATTTTCTTTATATGTTTTTCACTTAACTGCTTATTTGTTGTAGCATTTCCATATTTCGTTTCCATTGGTTTATTGCTTTCATATTACTTGTTTGAAATGCCGCATTATAGATTACTTTGTGTTTCTCCATGATTTCTTATTCTCAGTCATTATTTATGCTTACTACTCACTGGGTCGGAGTACTCACATTACTCCCTGCACCTTCCGTGCAGATCCAGGTGCATCTGAGGCTGAGTGAGGATTTTCAGTTGAGCAGCGCATATCCGGGAGCATCGAGGTAGCTGCATGGCGTCCGCAGCCCCAATCTCTCCTTTCTATCCTTTTGTTTTATCCGCATTTCCTAGATTGATATGTATTAGGGTGATAAACTGGTATTAGAGGCTCAGACTTGTGACACCGGATCTATATGAGCTATGTAGTAGTAGTATTATCATTTGAAATTCCGCCTATTTAACTCTGGTTTCAGACTTTTAATATGGTGTTTTGGTAATTTAACTGTGTTAGCCAATAATGAACTATATAAGAAATGGGTTGAGGTTGTTAATTGGTTAGGCTTGCCTAGCAGTGTGTTGGGCTCCATCACGACCGGGGTTGGGGTCGTGACAGGCTTCCTTCCTTTCCATTTTTCATATGGAATGGACACTACTACTAAAAAGTTTTTTAGCGGCAATTAATACACTCTTAGCAGCAATACAAATTGCCGCTAAAACATTTACTAGCAAATAATCTTTGGTCGGTGTAGCCAGTGTTGCTAAGGGTTTAGCAGCCATTGCACGAAGTGCTGGTAAAGATTCCTTTTATTACCGCTAAAAGTACCTGAGTTTTAGCGGCAATTATTTACAGACAATTAAAATGGCCAGTAAAACTCCCCTACGATATCCAACATGATATTTTTTTTGGCTTTTGTTATTGCCAGTAAAGACTCATTCAATTGCCGGTAAAAGGATCCATTTTTGCGGAAAAAATAATGAGCGCTAAAACTATCAATATATTGGTCTTTATTTATATACTTAAAGGCTTTTGTTATATCCAGCAAAATTCATCTGATAGCCACGAGTTCTTAACAAACTTTCTTATTGTAATTAAGCATTAAAAAAGCTCCTTTCATAACCTGTAATGCATTATGCATATTCAAGTTTAGTTATAATAAGAATAAGATTCATTCTCAAAATTTTTAATACACTTCATCAAATTCACAACAAAATCTACTAATTCACAATTTCAAAGTGTCAACCAGATAACCAAAAGGTAAACTATTTGAATTTAATAACTAGTGTGATTTGCCCTCTAATAACTGGCATTATAAAATTACTACAATATTATACAACAAATGGCGCCATTAAATTTTCTTCAACTCTTAATCATGATGAAATCTTTCACATGCCAGATACAACAACAACAACAACAACTCAGCATAATCTCACTTAGTGGGGTCTGGGGAGGGTAGTGTGTACGCAGACCTTACCTTTACCTTAGGGTAGAGAGACTGTTTCCAAATAGACCCCCGACATCCTTCCCTCCAAGAACTTCCCACCTTGCTCTTGGGAGACTCGAACTCACAACCTCTCGGTAACTTCACATGCCAGATATCTGAACAAATACTTAATCTCTGGCTTACTGCTCGAAGAATAGTTGTTTCACTTTCTATATCATATATACCTTGTTACTAGTCTCCTGCGCTATATTCCTTGCATAATGCAGTACCTTTACAAAAAACAAATCAAATCATGAAATTAGTATTTCTTTTATTGTAGTAGTAAGATATGACTAGTGTGATAATTGCACAACTACTTCAAAATCGATAATCATAAAATAGCCTTAAGCACTACTAGAGAAACTTCAAGAATTTAGCAACAAAGTATGCACTGAAGGGGAATGTCAACTGTCAAAGCATTATGTTCCTTATTCACTTATATGTTTTCCATATAGACTTTTAAGCCAACACAAAGGAGGGGAAAATAAACCCTGAGGGGTAGCCGAGATGGTAAAACCACTGAGGACAAAGTCCTCAAGGTCCCAGGTTCGAGCTTCCCCCAGGGCCACTAGAGGCATTGAAAAATGGTCGCGCGCTCAGGGCCCTGTGGAATAGTCGGGCCCGCATGCGAGCACCGGACACCACAATTAAAAAATAAAAATGGAGGGGAAAATAAAGAACCTCAAAACAAATTCCACTTAACAGCAGAAGGTCGATCTTTAAGGAACTCAACAACCTATATTGTATGACAATTAGCTCTTTTAAGTAAATTTTTCACAAAACGGCTTACTTTTGTACTTTAGAATTAAAAAAAACACATGCTCGTGCTGCCATTCCACTGCAAGTATATGAAATGGTTAAATTAAAACCGAATTTGGACCAAGCTAACGATAATATAAAATTTATGTTTTTTTAGTTGTCCAACCAATAAGATAGATGGCATTACTTGGTCTTTTGTACTTTCTTAATTTACTTATTTTCATAGAATAAAACATTTGATGTCTGTTTGGTATATAAATTTTAACCTTTACTATTTTTCTTGTTTCACCTTTTGAAATATTATCCTTCAGAAGACATTACCATATTAGATAAGTGCAGATACAAACAAGTTTTGCTTTCTTTTTTT